CCTAGAGATGCTGGTATTGTACCGGTTAGATTATTACATGACAAATATAAAGCAGTCAGGTTTTCTAAGTTTCCTAGAGATGCTGGTATTGTACCGGTTAGATTATTACATGACAAATATAAAGCAGTCAGGTTTTCTAAGTTTCCTAGAGATGCTGGTATTGTACCGGTTAGATTATTAGATGATAAATATAAACCAGTTAGGTTTTCTAAGTTTCCTAGAGATGATGGTATTGTACCGGTTAGATGATTAGATGACAAATCTAAAGTAGTCAGGTTTCCTAAGTTTTCTAAAGATGCTGGTATTGTACCAGTTAGATAATTAAATGACAAAAGTAAACTTGTGAGAGATTTCATGTTCCCTATGGAAGCAGGGATTGGACCTTCAAAATTGTTATGGAGCAACTGTAGGGCAGATAGATGTTCAAGCATTCCTACTTCCCTAGGTATGAAACCAGAGAGTTCGTTGCCGTAAAGGTAAAGAAAAGACAAGTTGCTTAAGTTTCCTATGGACGTAGGAAGACCACCACTAAGGTTGTTATTTGACAAATCAAGCAAATAAAGAGATACCAATTTTCCAACCTCTGGTGGTATGTTGCCAGAAATGGTATTTAAAGACAAGTCAAGTCTGATAAGGTTACCTATATGTGAAGGAATGGACCCATAGAGCGAGTTGTTGTGAAGGATAAGATTAATCAAGTTAGGAAAGGAAGGGAATCTGAGACTATTTAGGGTACCTCTCAAACTAGAATTAGGCAGGCTTATGTTGGCAACACTACCAGACTTGTCGCAACTGATTCCGACCCAGTTGCAAGGGCTGTCTCCAGCCCATGAAGACAGGAGAGTCTGGCTTCGGTTGTCAAGACTGACTTTCCATTCTAGAAGAGCTTCCGCTTCCTTCCTTCCATTTGCTACTTCAGCTCTGACAGCCGAGTAAGCAAAAGAAGTAAAGAAGGAAGCATAAGCAAGTAAGGAAAAAAACAACAAAGGTATGGATAAGAGCAAGATTTGGGAAGCCATGGCCTTGGTGGTTTACTTTCTTAAGGAGGATGTATAAAATGATTAGCCCTGCATACGTGTGTGTATATATATATATATATGCAGGAATTCATTTGTCTTGGTCATGATCGAAGATTTCTTAAGAAGATAGACAGCTGTGTTTTAATTGAAAGTCTTCTTTTTTTTAAAAAAATTAATGTGAATATTCGAGCTACCTTACACACCACGACATATTCAATTCTTAATTGACGTATTTTATTCATTTTTTATTTTTTTTATGTGGGGTGTCCGGACCAGCTTACGCGCACCACGACTAATCCCCATAGCCAACTGAACATCCTGCAAGTCCAGTGAGCAGGTAAGGCACCACGAGGGTGACAGGCGTGCATGGTGAGGTTTGAACCCAGGTACGGAGGAAGGGAACAAGCCACTCCCACTGATTTCATTCTTTTTTTTAGATTAACGTGAGTGTCTGGACCAGTTTGCGCGCACCACGATTAATCCCACGGGTCCTGAAGTTAACGACCCACTAATTTCATTCTTGATTGGATGTCTTCGTGTTTCAGCTATGGACCTACGGTGATGTTTCCCATGAAACTTCAAGTGTGGAACAACATTCACGTGGTTAATGCTTTTGTTATATCAATCAAATGAATCCACTTTGAAAAGTTTCTGCAAAAGTGCAAGTCATCCCACTCGAAGACTTCAGGATAGGGCCAATAATTTAAAACAATAAAGGTGCAATTAGGGGGCAATGCAAAAGTGCAAAACCATGGCTAATACTTTATTCGGTATTATTAAAGTTTTCTATTTTTTTATAGTAATAACCTTTTAATAAAAACAAAACTTTCATCAATAAAATTTAAACATTTTATGTGTCTCCACATAGTTATGATGTTTTTATTTTTGAAGGTTCTGACTAATTACAAATATAGTTATTTTTCATTTAAACATTTATTTATTTTATTTATTATTATTAGGCTTTTCTAGTTTTCATGTCTCAAGAAAAAAAAAGTTTTCTTCTCATGTTATGACTATTATTATTGGATGGTCAAAAAGAAGCTTTACTTTTTTTCAATTAAGTTCCCTGCATACATTTATACATGGGAGTCACAAGGTGGAAACTTTCCTTGAGCCGGAATTTGTTTGTCTTGGTCAATGGTCATGATCGAAAATTTCATGTGGACACGTACAAAGAAGATAGACAGTTGCGTCCGAAGAGGTGTAGAATACTTTGGTCTTCCATTCATGATTGCATGTCTTTGGGTTTGAGCTGTGGTGACGTTTCCCATGAAATTCATGTCGTTTGCTGATGGTTAGAAAGGAGATTAGGAGCGTTCTTGGCACTTCTTCGAACTGATTTTATTTTGTTTGTAGAATTCATCTCTCTCTATTAACTAGCCTCTGTTTAACATGATCCGCGAAAAATATTCGAAATCCTAAAATTATTTTTTATAATTGACTTGTATGCAAAGTCAGGCCGCCACAGAAGATTAGGGACTGACTGGACTCATCCATGATTCAAAGAGGTGGGAAGAAGCGGCATCATCGGATTCTAACAGGAAATAAATTAGAAGTGTGTTTGGTAATAATTCGCTCAAATCAATTAGAAGTGTATACTTTAGAAGATGACTTTTTTATTAAATTAAAACTCGACTCCTTTAGTGATAACGTTTTGATTGAAGCCATAAAATTGTTTCTAACTAACAATATTTATAACATTACTTTGACTCAAAAGTTATAAAAAAAAAAATCAATTAAATCAATTTATAAATGCCATGCCAAAAAGAATTATAATCTTTGTGTTGGGATTTGCCATGAGTAATTTTGCAACGGGTTACAAACACAGGATTATTGTATAAATTTTTATTTTTATTTTTATTTCCTGAATATTTTGTGTTACGATGAACGTTAATCAAGATGGAATATTTAATTGCGTGATAGATGAAGTCTTAATTTGTCATAATTACTAGAATATTTATGTTGGGGTTTCAGCTATGGATCCATTAATTCTCGGATGATTTTTTTGTTTTATGAAATACAAGAGATATGTTATTTTGCACCATTATGTGCTTATATAATAAGATTACTATATTCCATGATTAAAAAAAAATACGAAACTCTGCATTGGGTGATCATCCTTCAAGGATTTTTTTATATATATTTTTTTCTTGTTTTTTCTCCTAGTTTTTCACTGCTTGTGTTAAACAACAAATCTAACTCTATCTCTCCCTTAATTACCCTAATAATTTTAGGTTTTATCTATGATGTGAAATCCGAACTTTACGATTAATAATAGCTAGCTTGTACCCCACCATTCCATGACTCCTGATTATTAGGAGATGAAGACTATTTGTATACTGTCGGTCCTTGACTTGGATGTGAATAGCGTGTTTATTTTTCTTCATGCTTTTGAAAAAAATATTTTCCGATTAATTGATATTTTAGCGTGTTAATTAAACTAAAAGGAACTGGATTGATATCTAAATTATGAGTTTATTAAAGAATAAAATGATTGTTATTTTTGGGTTATGCAAATTTTTTACTAGAAACTTAGGGATTTTTTTAGAAATCTCCATCAATTAGTCATCCGGTTATCCGGTTCAATTATTAATACCAGCTGATCAAGGGTTCTAAACTAGCCAACCGGTTGCTTTGTATAGTGGTTGATCGGTTAGTCAATTTGATTAACCTGTTAACCGGACAATAGAGTTTAGTTTTATTAGATGAATTGCATTTGATTAGTTGGGGTTATATTCAAGTTTAATTCGGTAAAACAGTTAAGTGTTATATTCATATTTTGGTCTCTAAATTTAAAGTTTTTAAATTTTTTATATTATTTTAATTTAAGATGTTTTAAAATATTTTATGTATTCGTCATTATATATTTTGCTATAGAGAAAAGACAGTAAGAGACAAGACGGGGATGCAAGACTTCTGTCTATTCTGCTCATTGATTGCCCCAAAACCATGTATAACGATGCCCAGGATAAGGATACTCAATGAAGTCGCAATTAGAAAGATAAGACTTGAAGGCCTTTGAACCAGTAACATTCAAGTACCTGCTACTTGAACCTCTTCATCTCTCTGCATAGTATGGCATCCAGACCCAATCTTACCCCATTAGTCAACATATTCTGAACCTCTTCATCTCTCTGCATAGTATATGCACCCTCCGGCTCAGGAGTAAGAAAAAAAATCAAAAAATAGATTAAATCAACAAAATTTTAAAAAATAACTGAAAAAATTGAAACGCGAAAAAAATTAATTAAAATTTTTAAAAAACTAATTAGTTTGATTTTGGTTTTATAAATTTAAAATCAAAAAAACTAAACTGAACTCAAAACAAAAAGAAAAATTGAATCAAATCACAAAAATCAGGCCAAACAAGAAAAATTAAGCCAAATAAAAAAATTAAATCAAATTAATTTGAACTAGTTTTTATTTTAAAAAATTAAATTGAATGAACTAAAACTAATCGGTTTGAACTGGTTTTAATTTTTTAAAAAACAATTTAATTTTTTTTTTTTTTAATAAAAACTGAATTCAACTGAAAGTAACTGTGGTTGTTTCTGCGTAGTAAATCTAGAATTCCTCTGTTTATTACTGGATTCCATTAATTCTGAGGTCGGGCTGGGTCTGAGAACCAGGTCCAGCCCAGCCTCAGCTTTTTTTTTTTCTTTTCGGCTAGGTCAGGCTAGCCTGAACTTCCCGGTCATTGGTACAATACACGTACACTGGCTGGCTGATAATATCTATTCTGTAAAGAATATCTATTTTAATTTTTAAAGAACCATATAAAAATAGATTTTTAAAATTAATTTACATATATCTAATAATTAAATTTTTTTAAGAGATAAATATTCCAAAAAACAAGGCGTTTTTCTAATAATTCAATTCTTTTGGACCCTTTACATTCACTATTTTTCTTATTCAAGGATGAACCCATTGTCTCTTGAAGGTTTATTCCGTTCTTGTTTCGAATAAGGCGTTCTTCATAGGCGCAGGCGCAATTTAAACCCTGCCCTTTTTTTTTTTCCCCAAAGAACAAGGCGTTCTTGTTCGAATAAGAAACAAGAATTTATTATCTAATAATTTTTTTTCCCTTTTTAATACTCTTATGGGGTTTCAGAGGAATCTTGAACAAGGCGTTCTTGAATTTATTATCTCGTGGAGGATTTGTTTTTTTTTTACTAGATAACTGTTTATTTACTGAAAAGTAAAAAATATTTGTTAAAAAGTAGTTTTTTTAAGTGAATTCTGAAAAAATAAATTCTATAAAAATAAATTATTTTCTAATATTTGATAGTATAATAGAAAATAAATTACAAAATATTTTCTAATATTTAGTTATATTATGAAAAATAAGTTAAAAAATAACTTATTAATATTTTATTTTTCTCAAGTTTATTAAAATAATGAGGAGCAAATCTTACAAATTAAAAAGTTGAACGAGAATGATATTGAAAAATTATAATTTTATAAATTATCTCAAATAAAATAAACAATAATTAAAATAATAGAGATCAAATCTAAAAAATAAAAAAATAAAAGATAAAGAAATTAAAATAATAATAATTAACATTTCATAAATTATTTCAAATAAAATAAGTAAT